ATTTTGGTCTGGCGCGCTCGCTTTTCACGGGCCAAAAATAATATTTTTAAAAGATAAACACGAAGAATTTCTCTTTGAAGAGAGCTCTTTTATTTTATGTACATTTTTATACCCCCGATGTTATGGTCGTCTGAAATATAGCAAAATTCAGCGTACAAACGGAATAGAAAATATAGTGTACTTCACGCGGGTGGTTACAAACAGAAGAAAGCTCAGTTAGAGATGAAATATAGTTGCAAAGCTACTCCGAGGAATGAAAAACAACTTATGAAAAAGTGAATCCAAATTTAATTTTCGCTGTCTTGTATACGAGCGTTGTGAAAATGCACTAAAAGCCCAATAAAGAATTTATTTCCAATAAAGAAATGTAAAATGGTTTCCGTGTTTACATAGCCTGATGTAAACACGCAGGAGGTTGGGAGAACACAAGGTAACCATAGGAAACCACGACGCGAAGTGGAGTGATTTCCAGCTTATCGAGTTGGCAGGGGGTTTGCCAAGAACATGGTTGTTTACCATTTCACAAGAGAAAACCAGTTGGAAGCCAGTTGAGGTAAATGAGGTGCACAAAGATCCCAGTCGATTTTTGGGTACTTCACAGAAATTTTCAAAGATCTCACTTTTTCCTACGAATAGTTGTGACACAAAATGGCAGGATTTCTTGCATCGCTGAATGAATTTCTAAATTTGTGAGACAATAACACTATGTAGAAGCCTAACCCTAAATCCTAATACTGCTGATCTAAAAAGAGAGAGATTAGCTGTTAACCATCTAATTTGTGTGATGCAGAATGAAGCAGTAGACAGAGCACCTTACAGGTACCAGTGACAAAGGTGAGAATATTTACAACATAAGACAATTAAAAATTTTGCTTACTACCTTTTAAGTTACCTGCCACCTGGCCACCACTTTCTGCAAACAAAAACAAAATAGTAATTATTCTCAGTATTGTCATGATATTGATAAGCCATCCAGTTTTGTTGCTTGTCCATTTTTTTCACTCAGGAAGACTTTAGTCCCTTACAAGATGAAAAAATAACTGTGATAATCTTGTGGTACGTATTTGGCAATGTTCTTTAACTGACATTTTGTAAAATATTACTTGTGCACCTGTTAGATTAAGACTTATAGGAAGGCACAGCTTAATGTTAATGGTGGATCAAAAGCAAGATAAAAAGAAGAGCCTTTGCCCAATGTGCAGTATTACAAGGAGAACTACCACTAAAGCAGAGAAAAAACATCTTCCTAGCCATCTTCCTCCTCCAATTTCCTTTGTTCCCCCTTCCCTTCTTTCTTTGTTATTCTATCTATGGTTTTTTTCCTCTCCCTTTCCTCTAGCTGTCCTTTTTTTTATTGTCTTCCTCTTTTTTTTGCCCTCTCAGGATTTAGGAAAACCTTCCATTAGTGATCTTTCCCAGATTTGCCAGTCATTAACCAAATTATTTACCTCTTGTAAAAAACTAGTCACCAGCAGAAAATTCTAACTTGAATCTGCCAAAAAGACTTGAAGTAGGGACTTCCCCCTTTTAATTAGTTTTCCACAAGTGTCAAGATGAAGAGGAAATGTTAGGCAAATTAATTATTGTCAAGCTAGCAGCCAGGTCAAAATTAGTAATTAAAATCAGCTGAAGAGAATTGGTAATTATGAGGTACAATAACTATTTTGTAAGTTTCAAAACAGTTTAGTCACCAACTATTTCATGTTTGCCATGCAGGTCTTTTCTGTTTGCTTCCCCACACTAACTATCCTCCACGTCTGTGCTTATTCAAAGTAGATTTTGTTGGATTTCTGCAACTACGCTCCCTTTATGTTTCCTCATAGATACTAACCTTCAAGCCAACCCACCTATTTCACACATTTAACACTTAATATCAAGCTCTATGCCTGATTATCATATAGCTTGCAACACCCGTGGGCAATATGAAGCATCTGTTTTAAAACTCTACACAGTGTACAATTTACATTATCAACTCTGTAGTCCCTTCTTTTCAGTAATTTCCTGCTCTTTATTAATCTACATTACCCTCCCAACCCCCCCACCCATCCCTAAACATTTCCCAATTCCAAAATTGGTTGAAATTCATAAATTGCCCATAAGCATATGGTATATACCTTCTAAAGCCATACTTGTTGCTGCACGGACTTCTTCTGTTGAATCACGTGGAGCTGTACCTGAATCTGATGAATATGAAAAAAAATACAAATTATGCACTCATTAAATCAACCAAACACAGGCAAGGCTCTAATTTTAATATTAGTGCTAACTATAAGGCAAAGAATATTTTGCCTCCTTTTAGCTCCATGGAAAAAGAAGTGTGACAAGAATTTTTTAGAAAAGGGATACATGGAAAATCGTTATTGATATGTTTGATCCATTATTTTGTGCTGGATGACATGTAAGCAAACGTGAATACATGTAAATAGCTTCTTTGATCACCATTGTTCTATGTCTGAGAACTAACTCATTTCTCCTCAAATAGTGCTTTGATTAATAAAGTTCTACAGGCATTTCCATACATATCCTTTTTAAGTTAAAAGTAAAGTAGAAAGACCAGAAACTGTGAAAAAATACCACAAATATTATATAACTTCATCCCAATCATAAATTACTGGTACACTAAGGTCTTTGCTTCACCACATTTAACAACTTTACATGCATTTCCTGGAATAAGCGCCCAGGCTTGAATTATTTCAAGTTGTGGCTAAGAGGAGGGGTGCTTATCAGAAGGACATTGCTTAATCCAGGGGGCGTTTAGTAAGAAACTAGAGACTCTACTGATTTGGCTGTAGTTGAAGCTTTATAGGGTTGTAAATAAAGTGGTTAATAGAATCAGGTTTTCCATTTATTTTGGACAGTGAGAGAGGAGGGGAGGAGGGGAGGATGATCATTCGATTGGGAGGGGGGGTAGTGTTCTTGCTTCCTATGTTGATCTAGCTCACAAAAGTGCCACCTAAAATCAAACCATTTGAAAAGAAATTAAAACCGGCAGCATTATGCAAGAAGGGTGTAGGGGTGTAGAGAGGGGAGAGCTGTGATGGAACTAGTAACTTTAAGATGAAAATTAAGGTGGAGTAAACATTTCAATTATAGAACTGTTATCAAAAGGGCCTTGTTCAAACATAAATTTCTTATTTAGTTCAATTGCATAATTGACAATCGAGATTAATTTGTTACACCTGTCTTGATCTATAATGTTAGAGACTTTTCACCAGAACTGAAAGTAATTCACTGAATTGATGTTTCAATGTGTGGTTGAAGCTTGGTCAATATGAATTGTATTAATTGTGTAATGCTTTGGTTGGGATTGAAAATGCCTGTTAGCTGTCACTTTGGTATTCAGTCAAGTTTTTCTCTTTGCGATAAAGATTAATAATAAAACACAGTTATAGTGAAGCCTCAACTTGGTTTGTTTTCAGTTGCTCCAAGTGTTACAGATGGGATATGAAAGTTATGTGACAGAAAAGAATAACTTCATTGCCTTGGCATTTTGGAAAACTTCCATTTGGTAGTTCAATCAAATTGTTCTATGACATCTGGATGACTAATTTGCAGTATTCACTGACCAGCCCTATTCTTTGTATTAGAGTTTATTGACAGTTATAATTAGATGACATGCATTTTAAAGTTTACTCACCTTGTTTCAATGTTACTGCCCTTAAAATCAATCTCTTCCCCTTTTTGCAAGAAGAGGCTTTAAATGACAATTTTATGAGAAATTACATGTTGATCAATTCTGGGTATTAAAAGGATTAGACCGAAGCAACAAAATAGAAATGTTACATAAAATAGAAGGAAAAAGTCTGATATCCCTGAGGAGTTCCAGTCCCTCCCCTACTGTCCTTCCTTGTTGTTTTATCCAGGACATTCTCCCCGATCCCCCTTCCCCCTTTATCTTTCATATTGATTGAAACACACGAATTGCTGATAGGCATGTGGTATGTACCTTCTACAGCTGTATCTGCTTCTTTTGTATTTCTATGTGCTTGTTCTGCTGAGTCATATCCAGCTGCACCTGCAATAGTACGTTTAGGGTCAAAAAAAAGTATTTTTTGGATGTGGAGGCAGTAAAGATATTAGGAACAGACTGCAGAAGGCACGAGGTGCATTCTGGAGGCTATGGAAGGTGTGGGCAGCCAGAGGAATAGGAATGAAAACCAAGGTATGCCTATAACCGACTGAGGATTAGATGGCAGCTAAGAATGACAAACAAGAGAGTAGTTGAAATGGCAGAGACTGATGAAAATATTAATTAGCTGCCAGGTGCAAAGGAGGAGGTGGAACTGTTTAGGAAACGTACTCAACAGCCAAAGAAGTTCTACATACATTAAATAGCTTCATCCCAATCAGTAATTACACATAAGTCTTTGCTTTACCAAATTTAACAGTTGTAGAAACATAAATTTCTTATTTAGTTGAATTATATAATTGACAAATCAAGATGAGTTTGTTACACCTGTCTTGGTCTTATGTTAGAGACTTTTCACCAAGACTGATAGTAATCCACTGTATTGTTGTCTAAATGTGCGGTCAAAGCTTAGTCAATATTGATTGGGTCAAGTTTAGGTTGGGATTGAAAATACCTGTTAGCCTTCACTTTGGTATTCAGTCAAGCTGTTTTGTTTGCTATCACAATTAATAATCAAAAATAGCCCCAACTCCTTGTTAACAACACAGCTAAAGTGAAGCCTCAACTTGGTTTGTTTTCAGTTGCTCCAAGTGTTAGAGACAGGATATGAAAGTTATGCTACAGAATATAATTTCTTCATAGCCTTGGCATTTTGGAAAACTTTCATCGTTGAATCATGTTCTATAACATCCGAATCACTAATTTGCAGTATTCACCTAAAGGATCCTGCAAGTAAACAAATATTACATACCTGCTGCTTGCACTACTCCCTCATCTCCCTGTGTTTGTCCTCTTGTTTCATTTGAAGTGTCTAAGGCTGCATAGAATGAAAACACTGAAGTTATGATCATGACCTTCTTTAAGTACTATCAATGATGATTTTAGGTCAGTGAAAATGAAAATGCCGCTTTTCTAGTCACAGTCTAGAGGTTTTCTATTGTTAGCATTGAGTGGAAATGGTCATCTCAGAGTACTTGGTATATATTAAGACCGCAACTAGAATATCTTAATCAATTTTAAAGAGCTTTTAATTTTCTTAAAACTTAATTGTGCAGAAAACTATATAATTATGTAGCTGTAGACTCAGTACACAAAATAAAGAAAAAGCTGGCTTTCTTCACCTGTTGGATAACATCAAAATTATCCCTGGGTTCCAACTGATTAATTAGAATTATGTATAACTAATAACATTTTAAAAAGGCAATTAATATACATACCTGCTGCTTGAACTTTTTTCTTGTCTCCCTTTGTTTTTTCTCTTGTTTTATTTGAGGTGTCTTGATCTGCAGCGAAAACTGAATTAAGATATTCATAAATTGCAACGCATACACCTCTATAATATATAATAGCCCTATGCAGCCATTTTTCTTTTTTTTAAACTGTTTTCATTGTTTTGTACAATTTATAATTCCTTGGATCATTTCACTGCTACAAAAAATGTTGGATTGGTAGAATATTTGTTCAATAAAATTGAACAAGCTGATGTTGGGTTTCCAAGAAAATGTTGCCTCAAGGAACTATTCAAATCATACATACTCAATGATAACTGCTGTATGTTAACTCAGAATAATTCTTAATTAGTTTTAAACAGCTTCTAGTTTTCATATCATACAATTCTGCTGAAAGCAGGCAGCTGTTTACTATTCACAAACCAAAGGAAAAAACTGTCTCCATCTGTGGTCAAAATAATTTAATCATATCCTCATATTGATGAAGAGCATATGCAAACATTCTCACTTAATTGGGTCTACAAAAGGTACAATAACAAGAAAAAATTTGAATTTTGTTTGTGGCATTCTACAAAATGAGTTAAATATATGTACCTTCCCCTTGCCCACCTGTCCTTCTTTCTCTTGTTTGTTCTGTTGTTTTATCTGAAGTGTCTGGATCTTATACACAGGACAAAATACAAAAGTAATGCATTTACATATCTGTAAGGCTGAGGATAGGAATAAGAATTTTTCAGTTTAAACATCGACACCTGAACCACCCATAACTGCCCGTGCCATGTGGTGGACAAGAAATGATCCAATATTTTCAAGTCTAATTTTCTGTACCTTTCTGATTATGTTAGACCTCTTAGAACACAAAATGAAAAGTAAAACTTCTATAAAATATTCTGCCTGAAAAATAATAAACATCCAGGTCTTAAAAGCAGTAAAATAAGTTTTTGAGTCAACAACACTATAATTCCCTTAAGATGCAAATTGAGGCTGTAGATTGAAAACAAAGGACTTCAAGCAAGGCCTAATGACATTCTGAAGATTCTAAGGCT